CCTTTCTTCTTTCCTTCCTTCCTCTCTGTCTCTCTTTTCTTCTTTCTTTCTTTTTTTTGGGGGGGGGTCCAGGCCCCCAAAGGCCCTGAACTCTGGGCCATTAGCTCAAGGCTAGTGCTCTACCACTTGAGCCACGGTGCCACTTCCAGCTTTTTCTGCTTATGTGATGCTGAAGAATCAAACTCAGGGCCTCATGCATGCAAGGCAAGCACTCTACCACTGAGCCACCTTCCCAGCCCCTCCATTAATTTTTTTTTTTCAGTCGGTCATGGGGCTTGAACTCTTCAGCTCAAGGCTAGTGCTCTACCACTTGAGGTACAGCACCAATTCCAGTTTTCTGGTGGTTTATTAGAGATAAGAGTTTCATGGACTTTTTTGCCCAGGCTGGCTTTGAACCGCAATCCTCAGATCTCAGCCTCCTGAGTAGCTAGGATTTCAGGCGTGAGCTACTGGCGCCCAGCTTCTCCATTTCTTTTTTTATGGCTAAATATTCCTTTGTTGTAATATCCTACATTTTGCTTATCTATTCCTTGGTTTTCCTTCACTTTTTCCCCCCTCAGTCTTTTGCTTTTGTCTTAGCTGTGCTGCTGGCAGACACTGGTTCCTTGAGCAAGATCCTTGCTTTCTGTGGACCTTAGGGGGCCATCCTCAAAATGAGATTAGACTTAATCTTTGGTACTAATAGGAGTGAATAATAGATGAACAAATAGCAATGTTTACATGATGAACTTTATTTATTTTTTTTTGGTCGGTCGTGAGGCTTGAACTCTGGGCTTGAGTGCTGTCCCTGTGCTCTTCAGCTCAAGGCGAGCGCTCTACTGCTTGAGCCACAGCGCCACTTCTGGTTTTCTAGGGTTTTTTATTGGAGATAGTCTCACAGACTTTCTTGCCTGGGCTGGCTGAACCATGATCCTCAGATCTCAGCCTCCTGAGTAGCTAGGATTACAGGTGTGAACCACCAGCGCCTGGCTATGAACTTTATTCTTTACACTTACATTACCCTGTCAAGTCAGCTTCTATTAACCATTTTAGAGAATACTGAAGCTCAAAGGTCACAGGATTAGGATATATCATTTCTTCTTTTGTACACTCAGTATGTGTGCGATGTTGCTAAGGCTCTTATATCAGTCATTTAATGTCAAATGGTGGCAAGTGTTAAATCAGGTAGTGTGTAGTTAAAGTGGGCTTCACAGAGGTGATCACATGAGGCAAAAATCTGAAGAAACTTTTTTTTTTTGTCAGTACTGAGGCTTGATCTCAGGGCCTATGCACTTGAACTCAGTTTTTTTGTGGGTTTTTTGGTTGTTGTTGTTTTGTTTTCCCCAGGCTAGTGCTCTACCACTTGAGCTACATTCTACTTCTGGCTTTTTGATGGTTAACTGGATATGAATCTAATGGACTTCCCTGGGCTGGCTTTGAACCCTTTATCCTCAGTTCTCAGCCTTTTGAGTAGCAATAATTACAGGTATATGCTACTAGTGTCCAGATGAAGAAACAATCTTATGTTTAGTGTCAGAAAGAAGTTCATTCTGAGTAGGAGCTGACTAGTGGTTTGAACAGTGTCTACTCCAGCATCCTGGATTTTCTTCCAAATATTTTCTTAGGTAAGAACAGACATATATTGTAAGCAATTGTTATCTATAGAACAGGCTGAAGAATTAGTTCCTTGCAGTCTCTTTCTCATAGAACACCTCTGGATGTTGTATGTGTCTATTATTTGTGTATGCACCATTCCTGAGGCTTGTTCTCAGGGTATGGATGCTGATCCTGAGCTTTTATTCTCTTTTTTGTTGTTGTTGTTGGTCATGGGGCTTGAACTCTGGGCTTGGGCGCTGTCCTTGTGCTCTTCAGCTCAAGGCTAGCGCTCTACCGCTTGAGCCACAGCACCACTTCTGGTTTTCTAGTGGTTTATTGGAGATAAGAGTCTCACGAACATTCCTGCCTGGGCTGGCTTTGAACCAATCCTCAGATCTCGGCCTCCTGAGTAGCTAGGATTACAGGCATGAGCCACCAGCGCCCAGCTTGAGCTTTTATTCTCAAGCTAACATTTTCCCATTTGAGCCACAACTCTGCTTCCAGCTTTTTGGTGGTTAACTGGAGGTAATCTCATGGGCTTTCCTGCCTGGGCTGGCTTTGAACCTCAGTCCTCAGTCCTCAACATCTCATCCACCAGAGTAGTAACTAGGATTACAGGCATGAGCCACCTATGCCTGGCAGAACACATGAATTTTTATTGTCATTCCATCATGTATTTTATAGTGTGTGCAAATAACTTTATGGGCTGGGAATGTGGCTTAGTGGTAGAGTGCTTGCCTCATATACATGAAGCCCTGATTTCCATTCCGCAGTACCACATAAGCAGAAAAAGCCAAAAGTGGTACTGTGGCTCAAGTGGTAGAGTGCTAACCTTGAGCAAAAGAAGCTCAGGGAAGCCTGGTGCTAGTGGCTCACTCCTATAATCTAAGCTGAGAATCATGTCAAAGCCAGCCCGGGCAGGCAAGTCCGTGAGACTTTTATCTCCAGTAAACCACCAGAAAACTGGAAGTGGCGTTGAGGGCCAAGTGGTGGAACAAAATAGCCTTGAGCTGAAGAGCTGAGAGAAAGTGCTCAGGCCACAGGACTGACCAAAAAATAAATATAATAATAATAATAATGACTATATGTTTGTGAACAGTAGGGTCTTCTCTGTTATCTATGCATCTCTTTTTTTTCATGATATATTTGTGAGATAATATGTTTGGTCCATGTTTGGTGAATGATATGTGAGTCTCTCATTTTCACTGTTGTATATATACTGTTACATGTGATTATATTGAAGTAACTATTCTGTTGATCAACATGTGGGAACAGCCCTGTTGGTTTTCCAGGAAACACTGTATGTATATTATGTCTGTGATCCTCCCAGTGAAGTTGCTGGATCTTAGTGAATGTGCATCTTCAGCACATTTTTATTCTTTTTTATTTTTTGGTGCCAGTACCAAGGCTTGAATTCTGCCTCATGCTCTGGGTCAGCTTTCTTATTCATAGCTGGCATAATCTCTCTTTACGTCGGTCATGGGGCTTGAACTCAGGGACTGGGCCCTGTCCCTGACTTTTTTGCTCAAGGCTAATGCTCTACCATTTTCTAGGGGTTTTCTAGTGGTTAATTAGAGTCTCATGGACTTTCCTGCCTGGGCTGGCTTTGAACTGCAATACTTAGATCTCACTCTGCTGAGTAGCAGGATTACAGGTATGAATCATTGGTGCCTGGCTAATATCTCTTGAGTCATGCCTCCTGTCCATCTTTGGTATTTAATTAGCAAGAGCTCATTATTCCTTTTTGCCTGCTCATGATTGGAGTGCCTCATGTTCCCAGACTATGGAGTAGTTGGAGACATTGAGTAGTTGGTCTTCTTGCTGATGAATGTGGGCATTGGTGACCTGGGTACTTGAACCCATGGGCTTTCAAATCAACTGCTTTTCCATTTCCTCCATGTTCCCCGTTTCAGGGTCGGGGCAGACCTCTCTCACATGCGGAAAACACTTGTGTCCCATCATTACTCCCTGGGGTCCCTCCTAGTGGCTGTGTGGTAGTGTCAGTCACTCTGGGGTCACTAGACGTGGTCAGGGTGGGCAGAGCCCCTGCTCCTGTTGTACTTTCTCTTCAGAGAAGTTGGGCCCAGAATCTTTCTTTCTTCCATGCTGTGGTTTCAAACAGGGCTTCTTGGGAGTGGGCTACTCTTGGAGGAGGGAAGAGCCAAGGTTGGCACTGAGAGTGGGGGATTAGGGTCCATCCCAGGCAGGAAAGGGTTTCTTGTTTATGTGTCCTCACCTCCCTCTTTCAGGTTTTAGTGTCTTTCCCCCATGACCAGGAGTTCATAGAAATGGTTAAGTATAAGACAATTGTGTGCTGGGAATGTGGGTACTAAACCAGCATGGGACAGCTCTCTGGATTCCTCTACTAATGTGTCTGTGCTGGGAGTGACTCACCCCTAACCTGGTGGGGACCCCTAGAGGGGAGGAGGGGGCTGCTGTGAGCCCCATGTGTTGCATGTGCCCTTGCATTGGGCTTGGCGTTGGGCATGTTTTAGTGTTTGGTACCTCAAATACAGCGTCAGGGCTGAGCCGTGCTGCATGTGTGGGCGGCTGAGCTCCTAACAGAACTGTGGACCACAGGGCTCCAGGAGTTGTAGCATGTCTCATGAATCAAGCCCGTGCTTGGAGACTGTAGTCTCATCTCTAGGATGGAATCCTTGCACGTGGTAGTGTCAAGTTCCTTTTATCAGGAGCCATTCAGTTATCAAAACAAGAATTTAAAATTCCCCCTTTGTCCTGCCACTCTAGGTTCTTGATTTTGTCAACCCTCATCTAAGGAAGTGTAAAGGGTAAATTGTAGCCTTTGTAAAAGATGAGGTTTTGTGCTTTTAAAATTCTGCACAAAAGCATGGTTCCAACTGCTACTTACTTACTCTAGCCTTCAAAATGCCCATTTTAAAAGCTGCCAAATAGCCAAATGATGTCTTTGGAAACTCTAAAACATATCTCTGAGCTTTAGTCTATGCACAGATGGCCAGCTTCTTGAAAAGAACAGCATGCCTTCACAAGCAGGCAAACCTGGTTTCTCTGTTTGGCTGTGGCTCATTTATCATTACCAGGGCTCCTTAGCTGAGTCCTTAGGTTCCTGCTAGGAACTACTACTCTATAGCTCCCCACCCTCATCATCCTATGTTGATTTTGAGCTGAATCTGCTATACTTGATCTCTCCTTCCCTTCCTTTCTTACTCTGGTCCAGCCTTAGAGTTTTCCAGGGGCCTTTACTGAGGGTCCAGGGTAGTGCTCTTGAAAGGTATGACAGCCCCTTGTATCCACTAAATGGCCAAACTCCCAAGCTACCAGTAGTAATCTTGAGACCCTGTGCCACCCTCCCAGGTAACAGGAGATAAGCCAGACCTGTGAGAGTCTCCTTTAGTCTGGCATCCCTAAGTCCCCATATACAGGCCCAGGAGTGCTGAAGGTTCCAGGTCAAGAGCCATGACGCACGTGTCTTCTTTCCTGGGCCACAGCCATCCCACATCATGCTGCAGTGCCGCTGAGATCATGTCTGTCCTCTTCTTCCACACCATGCGCTACAAGGCCCTGGATCCCCGGAACCCTCACAACGATCGCTTTGTACTCTCCAAGGTAAGAGTCCTGCTGCCACATAGCCTTTGCTTGGAGCCAGGTGTCATGTGGGTTCAAGAATGGCGAGTGGTCTCAGGAGACTTAACTCCCAGTCTAAGCCCAGGCCTGGCCTACCACTCAAAGAAGCCTCCTCTACTTGCTCATCCTGATCCCTTCTTTGTTGTCTGACTCTGTGCCAACTCACCTAGCAAGCTAAGAACATATGGTATTCCAATTGGCTACCCTTCCATGGAGCCACGTCCATGAATGAGGTTCTAACCCAGAAAAGAATAATAGAGGACAGTAGAAACTTTGTGTCTTTCTGGCCAGGTGTCTCACTCCATTTGAGTATTGATAGGCAGAACTCAAATTCAGATTTGGGTTACTTGAGGGCTTCCCACTGGTGTGTTCCCCCAGGAGTGGTGATCCTGTAGCCAGATTTGTTTTTTTGTTTTTTGTTTTTTTTGCCAGTCATGGTGCCTGAACTCTGGGTCTGGGCACTGTCCCTCAGCTCTTCAGCTCAAGGCTAGCGCTCTACCACTGGAGCCACAGCGCCACTTCCGGCTTTTTCTGTTTATGTGGTGCTAAGGAATTGAACCCAGGGCCTCATGCTTGCAAGGCATGCACTCTATCACTGAGCTACCTTCCCAACCCCCTGTAGCCGGATTTGGGATGGGATTCTTTGTCTTTCTTCTGATAAAAGTTACAGCTACAAACCATGCAACAATTGCTTAAGATCTACCTGTCCTCAGGCCTGGCTCAGCAGCCACTGGTCTTGGATTAGGCTGTAGTAGGAGTTATAAGTCTGTCCAAGTATCTCATATGCCAGGATTAGGGCAGCTGGCTGCCTGCTATGGTTTTTGGCCCCATCTAGCCACACAGCTGTGCGCCCTGCACCTGTTGTAATGTCTGCCTGGCCTCAGCTGTGGGAACTTTGGGCTGGAAACCAAGAGGCTAGAGAGCCATGAAAGGGGAGAATTGGCCTTCACTTGCTTCCTTCTCTGAAATGAATACCCTGTCTTGCCAGCTTATCCAGGCTCTGGGGCCCAGCATGCAGCAGGAATAGCCCCAGGTATTGGTTCTCCATTTGACCACCTTTGCTGACTTCCCTGCAGGGCCACGCAGCTCCTATCCTATATGCAGTCTGGGCTGAAGCTGGCTTTCTGCCTGAGGCAGAACTGCTGAACCTGAGGAAGATCAGCTCTGACTTGGATGGGCACCCTGTCCCTGTAAGTGCACCTATCAGTCAGGAACCTCCTAGGCCCCTGCCTCCACTTCCTCTTCCCAGTCCACGAGGAAGGGAAACGGCATCCACAGCAAAGCTAGAAAGGCAGAAGAAGGGGCTGAGATGAGGAAGGAAAGATGTGAATATTTAGGTTACATTGTATGCACCCCATGCTATATACAGGGTGAGGCCTCAGCTTCAACTTGAGGAAGGCCCCTCCAAGCTTCCCTTCCCAACTGGGCTGCCCAGCTCAGGAACAGATATAGTTGGAAAAGAGTCACTGGGGAATTAATAAGGAGATAGCAGCAGAATGTTAGTTCCCAGGAAGCAACCTAGCTTGCTCTTCAAGGTGTCAGCTAGCCTCCACTCAAATATTGGAAGTAATGAGTTACCACAAAACCACCACCAGGGTCTAGGTCTGCATCAAGGCCAAACCTTCTACATTAATATTGGGTAGACTATGTTTATAGGTGATACAATTTGGGGCTTAGAGAGTTTTAGTCCCCAATTTGAAGTCACATGTTTTGCTGGAGGGTAGAGCTAGGAATTGAACCCATACGCACAGTTACTTAGCTATGAGAATGAGAAGTCACCTTCTGGGAAAAGGCCTTCTGCAGGGAAGGGGCTCCACAGGTCTGGGAGGGGGTCGGGGAGGGTATGGCTGCTCTGGCTGGTAAGGGCAGGATCCTAGGTTGAGTTACACAACTCTCTCTTCTCTCCATGAATAACTGTGGTTCTCTGTTATGACAGAAACAAGCTTTCACTGATGTGGCCACTGGCTCCCTGGGCCAGGGGCTTGGGGCCGCTTGTGGGATGGCCTACACAGGCAAATACTTCGACAAAGCCAGGTAACACCCCTACTCCTTACCCTAACCATCAGTAATTTTGAGAGGGGTTCTTGGTGGCCCAACCTTACTCTCTGCCCTCAGCCACCCCTATACTGCCTCCTGCCTGGCTAGGGCTGAGTAACATATGTACATGTCCTATTCTGAACTCCGACAGACCTGCTGAGGATAGCATGGCTAGCCCTGTTTTCAGTTAAGGAAGTATACCCAGCGAAGAGACCTGCCCAGTGCCTCTCAGTAGCAACTGGCTGGCCCTTGAGTGCCTGGTGCTACTACATGCTTTCTAACCAGAATGCTTTGGCTGGGTAGCTCCTGCCTTACCCCCTTAAGCCCAGTGCCTGGATCCCAGAAATCTCAGAAGGATCTGCCTCCCCACCCTATGTCTAAATAGGTACCAGGAGCCCAGGCTACCTAACCTTTATCTTCAGAAAGGGCTAGGCTATGTATTCTAGAGCGTTCTATAGTCTTCAGGTGATCTCATATCAGCAGGGAAAAGACAGCCATCAGAGAGACTAACCCTGTAGAGAGTAGGTGAGGAGCCTGGCTTGGCAGGGTTTTGTGGGTTTGTTTTTTTTAAGATTTCTATTAGCATACATTAGCTGGACAAGGGGAGTTTGTTTCACTGTGCATTTTTATCATGTGGACAACATATCCCATCACTGTCCTCTATCTCCCTTATTTCTCCCCACTTATTAAAATAATTTCAACAAGTTTCATTGTCTGTTTTCACAAGTGCACATAAAGAACTTTGACCATATTGATCCTCTCCATTCCTCCTCCTTGTCCCATTGATACCCACTCTCCAGTAGCTCCAGTCTGCCTAGGCAGGTTTGCTGCTTAGTATCAGGTGGTTTTTAGGAAAGTACCCACTGTCCTCAGGACACATTTCAGCCACACGGTGACCTGCTGTGGCCACATTTGGCCTGAAGGACTGAGGCTACAGTCCCTTTAAGAAGAATCATTCACAAGAATGGTTCCTTTCTCCCTTTTCCATGCTTGGTGCCCATGTGCTGTCAGGTTTCATCTTGATAAACCCCTCAGGGATGGGGATGGGTGTGAGGAGTTACCCTCCTGTGGATGAGGAAACCAGGAAAGATAGTTGCCTAGATCCACTGGTGAGTGGTAGGAAGAGGCAGAGGACACATCTAAGGAGACCCTGGGCTGATTTCTGAGGGAGCCTAGGGCAGGGCTCTTTCTAGGGGAGTAAAGCTGATGGGGCTTTAGGAAGCCTGACCACATAACATACTGTGGGGAATGTTTTTCTGCGTGTAGGTCCCGCCTCCCAGCAAGGACTCCTGACACAGCTCTTTAGGAGACTCAGAGCCCCTCAAGCCAGAGTTACCTAGCAGCAGAGCTTGAGTTTTGGCACAGGCTCAGTTACATCAGAGGTGATTCACCGTGAAGAGAAGAGAGAGTCACAAAGAATGGGATGTGTGTTTAAGAACATTTTGTTGGGCCTTAGAACAGAGACATGAGTTAATTATTTCTTACAGTTGCTTGAAATAATTCCCTCTGAGAAATCATTTCCTGACCCCATCATAATAGAAAAGGCCAGTACAGGGAGAAGAGATTTGGCAGGTTCCCAGAGGCCACGGTAGTATGAAGCCAGGGTTGAGTAGGCCCTCAGACTACCTGAGGGAGGGGGTTAGGGCACCAAGGGATTATCAGGCTTGGCCAGGCACTGAGAGCTGGCATCCTGATAAAGCAGATCCAGCTTCTGGCACTGTTTCTTGCTGTCTCCTTTGGAAGTTAAAAAAGCATATTAAAAAAAATGGACTTTTTATTTATTCTTCTCCCTAATTTAAATGTAACAATATGTTTCCTCCATGCAATCATCTGTAGCCCCCAGCTCTAAATCTTGACTATTCAGGCAGTACCACCTCAGGTTAGCTCAGGTTTCTATATCACCATCCCCTTTTCCTGTTCACAGTCCCTTTCCCAGGATTGTAGGACCTCAGGATGCCTACCTGGCCCTAATAGGCTTCCTTGTCCCTGTTCTTAAGGCCCAGAGCTATGCTGTCCTCCACTTGGCTTCAGTCAACTTCCCTGGAATTGAGTCAGGCTCCTGAGGTTGTGTTCCCAGAGAAAGCTTCAGGATCTCAGACCCTGTTAACCTGAAGGAGGAAGGAGACAGCTTAGAAAAGCCTAGGGAAAAATGCTTCTTTAAGTTATGGTTCCTGTGGCCTGGCTTGGTGGAGGCCTCAGGAAATATCCTCCAAAAAGCTGAACATGAAGCTGTGGCTCAAGTGTTAGAGCCTTGAGCAAAAGATGCAAAAAGCTCAGCACCCAGCCCCTGAGTTCAAGCCCTAGGACCAGCACTAGGCAAAGGGAGGGTGCAGGAAGCTCCCTGTCACCGGGGCCTGCGGAAGTGCTGAGTCATGCTGACAGCGCTGGCTGGCCTGCCCAGCCTCTTGCAGGCAGTGTCTTGGTTCTGCTGCAAGAAGACAAGCAGGAGGGTAGCTGGAGCCACACAACGGAGCACTGGGCAGGCTAAAAGGCAGTGCCCTGAACAATCTGGGCTACTATCAGAAGTGTTACGTCTTGGTTCAGCTATTTCCCAACACTGTGACCTTCAGACAAGTCCCTTGATCATTCTGAGTCAGTTAGAGAATAACAACTGAACTCATCTGAAAGAGGAAGTTATTCAGCACAAGACTCAGTACCAGTCATGTCCCCAGTTCCTGGGTGCCCTGAGTGACCTGTGAAGGATTGGTTACTCTTTATCATCCCTATCCCCTCATATCTCAGGAGTAGAGTCAGGGTCTCTGAACTCATTCCCTCACTTCTAGCCTTACCCCTTTTACACCCTCCCCTGAGGCCAGGAAGCTAATGTTCTCTGAGTAAGCATCCCAGGTTTCATGCTCATTTACCTTGGCACACTGCCTTTGAGAAGACCAGGCTTGCCTTTTGTCAATGAGAAGAGATCCTGGGAGGAGAAAGGACCAGGTGCAGCACCAGTCTTAAGGTGCTTGGGAAGAGCTTACCTATGAAGCATCTTGACCCCATACTAGTATGTCTTCCACTGCCCTTGGTTATGCCCATTTTCCCCTAGGTGGTCTGTCCTGTGGCTCACCCAGCAAGTTCTGGGACTCCTCTAATCTCCTGATGGGGGAGGGTGCTTTACCCAGAGTGGGTAGTTACCCCAGTATCCCCTACCCTTCTGTCTCTTATTGGCCACATTCCCATCATCTGTCCACAGCTACAGGGTCTATTGCATGCTGGGAGATGGGGAGCTGTCCGAGGGCTCAGTGTGGGAAGCCATGGCCTTTGCTAGCATTTACAAACTGGACAACCTTGTTGCCATTCTTGACATCAACCGCCTGGGCCAGAGTGACCCTGCCCCACTGCAGCACCAAGTGGACATCTACCAGAAGCGCTGTGAGGCTTTTGGGTAAGTCAAGCTAAAGTTGGGAGATTAAACCCCAGCTAACAGTTTCCCTTCCATAGCATTTTCCCACGTAATTCCAAATCTGGACATTTGGATTCATTCATTGTTCAAGCGACCACTATGACTTTGTGGGCTAAGGCTCAGTCATAAGCAAGTTTATTTGCCTAAGTCCTGGCCTTATTACTAATTTGCTTTATGACCTTGTTAAGTTATTCTGTCAGCGTCTCCATTGCTTTTCTGTAAAACAGGGCATTAGCTACCTTATTGGGCTGTGAACTTAAATGTATTCATTCAGCACAATGCCTACAAAAAGCAAGCATATGGGGCTGGGAATGTGGCTTAGTGGTACAGTGCTTGCCTAGCATGCATGAAGCCCTGGGTTCGATTACTTAGTACCACATACACAGAAAAAGGCAGAAGTGGCACTGTGGCTCAGGTGGTAGAGGGCTAGCCTTGAGCAAAAGAAGCTCAGGGACAGTCCCCAGAGTTCAAGCTCCAGGACTGGCAAAAAAACAAGCATATGGTGTGTTTGCTGCTGTCTTTATTACTACTAATACGCCCGCTCCATAAAAGCAATGCATAAAGAGGTCACCCTGACCCAGCCCCTTGCCTTGCATTGAATAGTGTGGTTCATTTTATTTTTATTTTTTAATCAGATATAGGGCTTGAATTTAGTGCCTGGACACTGTCCCTGAGCATTTTCACTCAAGGCTAGAGTCTACCACTTTGAGCCACAGCTCCACTTCCAGTTTGGGGCAGGAGGTTAATTGGAGTTCATGGACTTTCCTGCCTGGGCTGGCTTTCAATCGTGATCCTCAGCTCTCAGCCTCCTAAGTAGCTAGGATTACAGGCGTGAGCCACCAGTGTGTGGTACATGGTTTATTTTATAAAGGTTTCCAGTATCTGTGGAAGGATCAAATGAGTCATCCATATATACACATTGAGCCAGGATGTTCAAGAATCTAAGAGAAAACAGACCCTACCAACTCCCCAAAACAGCTCTCAGTAGGAAATCAACCTATCAGGAAGGAAATTTGTTAAGAGGCAAGTTAGGAAGTAAAATAATGTGAAAAGGGAAGGGAAAGCCCAAATTGGAGACAGGAGTAACTTAGGTGTTCCAGCTTGGGATCCAACTGTGGGATACAGGCAGGGCTGGTGCCAGGCCTTTCCTTGGGGGTTCTTCAGGGCACTTTGGCACCTGGCCACTTCCAACTTCTGCCACCTTCTGCCAACTTCTTCCAACTTCTGTCACCAGCTGGCACACCATCATTGTGGATGGACACAGTGTGGAGGAGCTGTGCAAGGCATTTGGCCAAGCCAAGCACCAGCCAACAGCCATCATTGCCAAGACCTTCAAGGGCCGTGGGATCACAGGTATGTGCCCTGTGACTGAGGGTTGGGCCATGTCATGTCACTCTGAGCCCTTTGTGCCTGGGGAAGTACCAGCCCTATCTCCTCCCTGTATACACTGGGCTCCAAGGAAGGGTTACAAGAAATGCTGAATTCTGTGAAGTGATTCTGGTCTGTGTGACTAAGCCAAGATTTGAGCCCAGATCAGCCTGGTTTTAGTTGAATGGCATGTGCTGGCAGAAGGAAGGAAAAGTTGGGGGGGGGAGGGGGGTGCCTTAAACAGAGCCTGTGAGTAAAAACATTGAGTAGTTCCTGCATCACACCCCAGCTGATATTTTGCTAGTTCCAGCCACCTACCACATTTGGAAGGTCTGGGTTCTCCCTTGGCATGTGTGGTGGGTACCTCTCAGTAAGTGCTTGGTAAATGCCTGTGTGAGCTTTGATGATGTTTCTGCTCCAGGCTTGAGAGTGAGGCAGACATCTGATTCCCAGAGGCTCTTGCCCATTTTAATGATAAGGAAATGACTATAAGTAGTCATTTATAGAATGACTGTAATCAAAAAGATAAAGAACATGCTAATAAGGATCCAGACCCAAGGGAACCCTCACATATTGTTGGTGGGAATATAAATTAGTGCAACTGCTATTGAAAAGAATATGTAATGTTCAAGGCCCTCGGTTCATCCCCAGCACTACATCAAAGGAGAAAATCAAATAGTGTGAAGCTTCCTCAAAAATTAAAAGTGGTAGAGTGCCTGCTTAGCAAGTGTGAGATATTGACTTCAAACACAATAATGCCAAAAACAAAGAAACTAAAAGTAGAACTGCTATATAGTCCACTGGTCTCACTATAACATATATCCAAAAAGATGAAATCAGCATATTGGAAGAGATAACCACACTGGTGTATGTATTGTAGTACTATCTCAATAGCCATTTAGAGGTCAGCCCAGGTATGAACTCAGGGCCTGGGATTGTCCCTTAGTTTTTTTGCTTGAAGCTAGCACTCTACCACTTGCCCCAACTCCACTCTCAGCTTTTTGCTGGTTAATTGGAGATAAGAGTCACAGATATTTTTCCTGCCGGGACTAACTTGGAACTATGATCTTCAGGGCTCAACTTCCTGAGAACCCAGGTACCTGTTGATGGTTGGACTTGGTAGTACATGCCTTAATCCCAACTACTCAGGAGGTGGGGGTTTAGAAGATGGAGGTCTGAGGCCAGCATCAGGCAAAAACATAGGACCCTATCTGTAAAACCTCTTTAGGCATGACTCAAGTAGTAGATGGTAGCAGAACAAATCCTGCAGTTCAAATCCTCCCAGTACTGCCAATTTTTTTTTTAAATATTATTATTGCCAGTACTAGAGCTTGAGATTAGGGCTATTCTCACTCAAAGCAGTACTCTACCACTTGAGCTATACCTTTACTTCTGGATTCGTGTTAGTTAATTGGACATTAGAGTCTCCTAGATTTTTTTTGCCCAAGTTGGCTTTGGACCTTGATCTTTAGATCTTAGCTTATTGAGTAGCCATAATTAAAAGCTTATTTTAAACTATATACAAAAAGATGACAGTACGCAAAAGAAAATGTACTTATTTCTGGATGTATGTAAAGGTAACCCCTCTGTATATTACCTCTAAAATAACAATAACTTGGAAAAAATAAAAATAAACTATATACATATTTTTTTAAAAAATAGTGGTCAGAGAACTGTGCAGGGACAGTGAGGCCTGGTACTGTAAGGACCTGATTCTAGCCCTGGGTCAGCTTCTCTATGCCAGCCAGCCTGGGATAGGGTAGCAGTCCCCTTGCCTGCCTGCATGTATGTGGGTAGAGGAGGATGAAGGTACTGTGCTGGGAGCCTTTTAGGGGCAGGTAGATGTCAAGGTAAGAGCACTGGGATGTTGTGATCTCATTGCTGCTACCTGGCAACCCCCTAGATTACCCAGTTTCTGAAGGCTCATAAAAACATCAGTCTGTTGTAGGCTGCAGTCACATCTGAGGTAACCTCAGAGAGGGTTAAGTCTTTCTGGTTCCCATACATGAAGGCTCTGAGGCAGAGACATACATAGTTGCTTGCAGACTCCTCTGCCATTTACAGATACATCAGGCGACCTGGTAATGCTCACTCCATTCTGACTGTAAGCTTCCTCTTCTCATAGAAAGGTTTCCTCACAGCCATTCACAAGCAGCCAGAGGTTTCCAAAAGCAGACCTATGCAAGCTGTAGGACCTAGGGTGGATTAACAGTGGCAAAAGGGAAGAGGCTGTGTTCCTTGCCACACACATCTGCCTATTGGTGTTCCCTCTCCTTACCATTCAGCGAAGGAGGACCAGGCAGTATCAATATAATTCTCTTCTGTATACCCTCTTTTTCTGTCTGAGAGTGTCTGCCTTACCTGTCTCTCTGTCCTCCTATGCTGTACCTGCAGGGATAGAAGATAAGGAGGCGTGGCATGGGAAACCTCTTCCCAAAAACATGGCTGAACAAATTATCCAGGAAATCTTTAGCCAGGTCCAGAGCAAAAAGAAGATCTTGGCCACTCCCCCGCAGGAGGATGCTCCCTCAGTGGACATTGCCAACATCCGCATGCCTACCCCTCCCAGCTACAAAGTTGGGGACAAGGTATGTAGTTAAACATTTTCTGGTGATGGTGTGGCTGAGGGTGAGGCAGTCCTGGTTCTCTGGTTTCCTACAGCTAACATGTATCTTCTAGAAAGTTGGGAAAGGAGGTGGGCACCAGTGCCTCATGCCTATAATCCTAGCTACTCAGGAGGCTGAGATCTGAGGTTATCTTCAATTAATCCCTCAAAAACGGCAAGTGGCACTGTGGCTCAAGTGGTAGAGCACCACCAGCCATGAGCACAAAGAGGCTCAGGGACAGTATCCAAGCTCTGAGTTCAAACCCCACAACCAACCAAAAAAAAAAAAAATTGGGAAAGATATCAATTAGGCAATATGAGTTAAACTAAGGATCCCTGTTTCCTGTCAATTGCCTTGAGCACAGCCAGCTCTGGAATGTGCAGAGTTGACAAGGAACTTGTTCATAGTCATACAGATAGCTACTGGCAGAAATAAGAACAAAGAGTGTCAGATGAGACCAAGGGTCCTGCACCAGGGCCTTCCCCTGAGTGAGCCTATCAACAGCAAAATGCTGGAAGTAGAGGTATGGCTTAAATGAAAGCACCGTTCATGAATAGAAAAGCTGAGCAAGAATATGAGGCCAGCCAGGTGCTGATGACTCACTCCTGTAATTCTAGCCACTCAGAAGGCTGAGATCTGAGGATTGCAGTTCAAAGCCAGCCTGGGCAGGAAAGTCCATGTGAGACTTACCTCTAATAAACCACTCAGAAAACTGGAAGTGGCGCTGTGGCTCAAGTGGTAGGGTGCTAGCCTTGAGCTGAAGAGAGGCTATGTTCAAGCCTCAGTACTGGTGCGCACGCGCATACACACACACACACACACACACACACACAATTTTCTAGAAGACCTGTTACTTGGTCTTCCTTTTTTCTGACTCCCCACTCTTACCCTTCTCCCTAAAAACTTCAGAAGCCTAAGAGGCAGGCAGGACTCTAGGACATATCTCTATACATAATATGCCCCAGTGGTACTTAGAGCTTCCTGCTCTCTTTCCTACAGATAGCCACTCGCAAGGCCTATGGACAGGCCCTGGCCAAGCTGGGCCATGCCAGTGACCGCATCATTGCCCTGGATGGGGACACCAAGAATTCTACCTTCTCAGAGATCTTCAAAAAGGAGCACCCAGACCGCTTTATTGAGTGCTACATTGCTGAGCAGAACATGGTGGGTACCAGGAATGGTCTGTAGTCCGAGCCCTCTTGCTCCTTTGGGCAGCCATATTGACCATGTAGGCCAGCCAAGGAAGACCATAAGACCTACTAGGATCTTACATAGACCGTTGACCCTCAGTAGCTACAGTTCACGGTGGTTAAGTCCAGATATGCTGTGGTGAATAGGTGTGTATAAGAAGGGAGGGTGCACATAGGAAGAACTCTATGTAGAAACGAATGGAAAGGGACCTACTGAGGTCAAAGAAGGCAATTCAACCAAGAGGCTGAAATGTAATGGATTTAGCAGCTAATTGGCTGCTGAGCCTATGTGTATAGGCTCTTACTACAGACACTATGAGGATGCATATATGAAAAAAAGATGTTTTGCCCTGTTTTTAACATAACCCATCCTGGCCAGGAACCCAGTCTTGCAGGCCCTTAAGGACAGGGAGCTTCCACCTTCTGGAAGCCACTAATATGCCCACAGTTCTTTCTCCAGCAGAACCTAAAGTTGTCTGTCAAATTACTGAGTCCAGACTACACTGGCAGGGTGGAGGGGCTAGAGTGGCCCCCAGTGTAGGGAAAGAGACTAATGTGAGCTGACAGATTTAGGAACTGAGGGAGAACATACTTTGTATCATCCATAGTGCTTCTGAGTGAGGGGTTAGGGCCTGGACCTCAGATGGCATGAGGCCACTGCCCTCTGATCTGGGAGGAAAGGGGCAGAGGACGTCAGGGTCTCTGCAGAGAGAGGCCTTGAGGCTAGCAAGGACTCCAGAAACCTTAGTGAGATGAGTTGCTTGTTAGAAAAACAGCTCCAAGGAAAAAGTTTAAGAGAACTTTTGAAATGATTATTTCAAGTAGTAGAAGCATGGGATTGGCATGAAACTGCAGAGTCTGGGGTATACAAGAAGCACTTTGTGAGATTAGCATGCTAGTATTACAGAACCTTCCACTCTAAAGAAGGTGGCCTAAGGAGGTGTCCTCGGCTTCCTGCCAGCCTTTGACTGCCTCATAGGACTAACATACCTTGCTTGCCCCCCAGGTGAGCATCGCTGTAGGCTGTGCCACGCGCAACAGGACAGTGCCCTTCTGCAGCACATTTGCAGCCTTCTTTACCCGGGCCTTTGACCAGATTCGCATGGCAGCCATTTCTGAGAGCAACATCAACCTCTGTGGCTCTCATTGTGGCGTGTCCATCGGTGAGTTTAACTAGGAACCTTGCTCATGTAACTTGACTTTAAATCAGAAAGAGGAGATGGGGGATTGGACGAGGATCCAGGATAGGGAAATCCATGGATGGGGATCTTATTTCAACTTCTCCTTTCCTATACCACAGGAGAAGATGGGCCCTCACAGATGGCCCTAGAAGATCTGGCAATGTTCCGGTCAATCCCCATGTCAACTGTCTTTTACCCAAGTGATGGAGTTGCTACTGAGAAGGCAGTGGAATTAGCAGCCAATACAAAGGTTGGTCAGGAGGGCTATTTTTTCTCTTCCTAGAAGCAGTTTGTCCCTAAAGAGACCAAAGAGGAGGCCAGCTACAGAGACACTGAAAACACAGGGCTGGTCATATGCTGCCCTAGAGAGTTGCTTATTGACATTGCTCTTGCTGTCTGTAGCTTAAAGAAGTTAGACAAAGCCGGGCGCTGGTGGCTCAGGCCTGTAAGCCTAGCTACTCAGGAGGCTGAGATCTGAGGATCGCGGTTCAAAGCCAGCCTGGGCAGGAGAGACCGTGAGACTCCTATCTCCAATAAACCACCAGAAAACTGGAAGTGGCGCTGTAGCTCAAGTGGTAGAGCACTCGCCTTGAGCTGAAGAGCTGAGGGACAGCACCGAGGCCGAGTTCAAGCCCCACGGCCGACAAAAAAAAAAAAAAAGAAGTTAGACAAAGAAAAACAACACACAATAAGATGGTATTAGTAGCTCATACCTGTTATCCTAGCTATACAGGAAGCTGAAATCTGAGAGCTCTTGGTTCAGAGCCAGCCTGAGCAGAATAATCCTCAAGATTTAGCTCCATTTAATCAGCAAAACAAAAACTAGACTGAAGATATGGCTCAAGTGGTAGAGCACCAGTCATGAGTGAAAAAAATAAAGTGTAAGGCCCTGAGTTCAGTCCCTGGTATCAGCACAACACACACACATACACACACACTTGCTGCTAATCTTTTCTCTGCCATGTTGGCATTTTATGTCTATACAGTCATGTCTATTGTCCCTTCTTTAGTTGGATTCTCCAAGACAGAAAAAGATGAGCTGAGCCACATAATCCAGATCAAGAGCTGCCCCCTGGTAGACCTCTTCCTCTGCCTGAGGCTAGGGTCCTGCTGATATGTTCTGGAAAAGTACCCCCACCCAGAAGCCAGTCTACCTGATGCTTCTGGGGCTGGCAAAGCCATGAAAGGTTCTCAGGTGTGCTTAAGGAGGTGCAGGCTTCTCCAGAGAGAGGGCCTAACTTACCTATCTTATCTACCCCTCACTTCCTACCCCTTTTCCCTTTGGGGTTGATGGGCTATGAGAGTTGCACATGGAGGGTAGACTTCTTTAGAAAGACTATATCCCCTGAGATCTGAGTTGCTGCACCTGTGTTTTTCAGTTTATCTGTTTTGATCCCAGGGCATCTGCTTCATCCGGACCAGCCGCCCAGAAAATGCCATTATCTACAATAACAATGAGGACTTCCAGGTTGGACAAGCTAAGGTCAGTGTGTTCTTACCCAGTAAGACCCCTTAGAGCAAGCCAAACCCACCCTGCTGCCACTCCTAGCAGTCAGGTTCCACCCTGGCCTCACTGGCCTGTCACCCCCAGGTGGTTCTGAAGAGCAAGGATGATCAAGTGACTGTGATTGGAGCTGGAGTGACCCTACATGAGGCCTTGGCTGCTGCTGAGCTGCTGAAGAAAGGTGAGGTGAAAGGGACCTGAAGAGAGAGTCTCATCTAGTTACATGATGATGGCACTAACTAAAAGCCTCTTGTGAATGCTAAGTGTGGGGCTGCATTGGACACAGTCCTGGTCCAGTGGCACTAGTATACTGATCGGATCAGAGGCACTGGAGCCTGCTGGTGGGACTGGAAACACAACTCAGCTGAGCACTAGTTAATTAAGTTATTCACTATCAGCAAGCCTGTTTCCCATTTGTAAACTGGCACTTTTCCCACGGAGCTGTTGTGATGATAAAGTTAGTGAGACTTAGTATTTATTGTCGTTATTATTGTGACTGTGCAGATATTAGTTAATGATATTATGAGGAGGGGGTGGGTATTAGGCTGTCCTGCAATGGAATCACCAAACAGATGTCACTACACCGACGTCAGTCATGCTGAGCACCAAAAAGTGGAGGGTTGGCATGGCATCCTTAGTAAGTTGACCTCAGAGTAATAGGAATCAACTAGCAAAAGTTGGAGCAAAGAGGGGCTTGGGAAAGCTTGACGGAGACTATAGCTAGCAGGACAGAACTGGAGGAACCAGGGAAGCCCAGCCCTACCAGGTGGGTCCAGGTAGGGCGTGTTAGACTTAGATCTTTCCTTCTGGAGTGGCTTTATAAGGTCCTCACCAGATACTGCTCCCCTTCCTGTCATTCCATAAGCCTTTGCCTTCAGACAGCTGGTACCTTCCCTGTGGCTCTTCCTTGGTATTCAAAGGTATCCTAACAAGAGAACAATTGGTTCTTCCCAGGATAGAAACAGGCTGCAGGCTAGACTCTCAGTGCAAACCCTTAGAAAACACATTTCCACCATTGGGCCATTGAAGATCCACTGCTAGTAAGGCACCCTACAGTACTCAGCCCTCCCTTCAGCCATGCCCATGCCTTCTTCCCTCACAGAGAAGATCAACATCCGTGTGCTGGACCCCTTCACCATCAAGCCCCTGGACCAAAAGCTCATTCTTGAAAGTGCTCGAGCTACCAAGGGCAGGATCCTCACAGTGGAAGATCACTACTATGAAGGTAATAGGGGCTGTGCCGGGCTGGAGGCTGGAGCAGGGCCAGGGCTTTCCTCCAGGGATACAGTCCACCTTTTTCTCTCAGCAGTGGGGTTGGAATTCTCGCTGGTTTTCTGATTGGCAGGAGCCCACAGAGCCGAGCCAGCAGCTGCCAGTTATCTAGATTCCCAAGCCGAGTCTGAAGCCCGTTAGTAGGCCAAGTCCCATCTGCTCCCAGACAGCTCTAAGTTTTCTGGGCCACAGCTGTCCTCCTGGGGCTCAGATAAAGAAGGTGGTTATACAAACTCAAACAGGAAAAGCAATATTGAATTTATCTTTAATGAATCCTTCACAAGCATCTACCAAGTACTCACCATTCATTCCTTTGAGTGGTTCCAGGGGTAGAGACAGACTTAGACTAAGATGAAGCGCAGAAAGTGCACTGTGTACTGTGATCAGTTAGAGATGACTGCTCTGGCTAGAGGATAGAGCATATGCAATCTTAGCCATCCTTATCTCAGGGAATAAATTCAGACTAGGGGCAGAGGCCTCCTCATCAGACTCAACCTCCTTTCCTCTGCCCAGGTGGCATAGGTGAGGCTGTGTCCACTGCAGTAATGGGAGAGCCTGGAGTCACTGTCACCCGGCTGGCTGTTGGCCAAGTACCAAGAAGTGGGAAGCCAGCTGAGCTGTTGAAGATGTTCGGTATTGACAAGGACGCCATTGTGCAAGCTGTGAGGGGCCTTGTTACCAAGGCCTAGGGAAGGGCACAGGTATTGGGGGGAAGGGGTCCTGCACATTCCTGGTTCTGGCAAAGGTGCTCAAAGATGTACTGAGAGGAGAGGTAAATATATGTTTTGAGAAAAATGAATGGTTTCAAGGTCTTTTTCTTTGCTGTGGATGATTCTGGCAAGAAGGGTGGAGGGGAATTGGGAAGGCTGGTGTGTGCCTGGTTTGGGGCCAGGACTAGATATCTCAAAGCTTCACCTCCCCTTGTTCAGCTTCTGCTCTCCACTCTCAGAACTGCTGCTACTTCCCAAGCACAGCCAGGTGACACTTCATGTTCCTGTAATCCAGTCACTCAAATGAAGCAGAGGAGGATCATGAGTTTGAGTCCAACCTGGGCTACATAATGATACTCAGTTTCAAAAAAAAGTAGGAGTGAGAAACCAGCCTCTTCATTTTTCGTGCCCTGTGGCCCCCACAAAGGAATTAATATGGTCAGCTCCTAAAGAAAAGACCACAATTATTTCTTAGAAGTTCTGCTTCCAAATACAGATACTTGAAGCTCCAACCAATGGATTTTGTAGGAGGCAATTGAGTTCATAGCAGCCCAGATGTGCTAAGTTCAGTTTTCCCCCCATACTCTAACATGAGAATACCATTCTGGGTATTGGAACTTGAGGTTTAAGAAAAAAAGTTGGTCATTGGTGGCTCACACCTGTAAACCTAGCTAGATCTCAGGAGGCTGAGATCTAAGGATCATGGTTGAAACCTAGCCTGGGCAGGAAAGTCTATGAGACTCTTACCTTCAGTAAACTATTCAGAAAAAGCCAGAAATGGCACTGTGATTCAAGTGATGGAGCAGTAGTCTTGAGCAAAAGAAGCTTAGGGACAGTGCTCAGGCCCTGAATTCAAGCCACAGGACCAGAGGAAAATAAAAGGAGCTGAAATTAAGCAGGCTATTAACCACCCCAACCAGGTCTGCCCAGGAGCAACACTTTGTTTCCAACACAAGCAAATACTTTCCCTAGATTAACGTTTGACTATGAAGTGTACTCCATGGGCTCCTGTATTGAAGGCTTAGTCCCCAAATGATGGAACTATTTTGAAGGTCTGGAAGCTTTCAGGGGTGTGGCCTAGACAGTCACTGAGGGCTCTATCTTGTCCTGGTGGCTTCCTATCCACTATTGCCTCCAGCAATGTTCCTGCCATGATCTGCCTTACCACAAGCCAGAATCAACATCCAGGCACCACTCTGAAACAACAAAAATAAATCTTCCTTTAAATTGTTAGTGTCAGATACTTTGCCACAATGAGAAGCACTTAACATCCCATCTCCCCAAAAAATGTGTTTCTGCTTCAATCTCTGTCACAGTTAACTCACCAAAGATGTTATTAGTCCACCAAGTCATTCATGATGTAGTTTTGTGTTCCCTTCAGAAACCAGACTTGAATTATATATCACCCTGCACCAGGATCAACTCCAAATGGATCAAAGACCTCGAAATAAAAGCAGACACCCTGAAAACATTACAGGAAGGAATAGGAGAAACTCTAGGGCTCCTTGGCACAGGCTGAAATTCTCTTAACGAAGACCCAGAAACATAACAAATCAAAGAAAGTTTGGACAAATGGGATTGCATGAAACTGCAGAGCTTCTGCATGGCAAAGGACATAGCTAGCAAGATCAATAGGAAGCCCACAGATTGGGAGAAGATCTTCACTAGCCATCCAACAAACAAGGGACTCATATCTAAAATATACTTAGAACTCAAAAAATAAAATCCCCCAACAACAAATCCTCAAAGGAACAACTTTCTGATAAATAAGTGGGCTAAAGACTAAAAGAGAAACTTCTCTGAAGAGGAAATAAGAATGGCCAATAGACACATGAAGAAATGCTCAGCTTCTCTAGCCATAAAAGAAATGCAAATAAAAACACATTTGAGATTCCACCTCACCCCAGTTAGAATGGCTGTAATCAAGAACTCTAATAACAACAGATGTTGCAGGGACAGGAGGGAATGCTACTGCATTGTTGGTGGGAGTGTAAATTTGTTCAACCACTTTGGAAAGCAGTATGGAGGGTTCTCAAAGACTCCACATAGACCTTCCCTATGACCCAGCAATCCCACTTTTTGGGCATTTACCCAAATATCACAAACAAGGCCACACTAAAGCTGCCAGCACAACTATGTTTATTGCAGCATTATTTACCATAGCTAAGATAAGGAACCAACTCAGATGCCCCTCTGGATGAATGGATCAAGAAAATGTGGTATATATACACAATGGAATTCTATGCCACCATCATAAAGAATGACATTGCCCCATTTGTTAGGAAATGGAAAGACTTGGAAAAGATTATATTAAGCGAACTAAGTCAGGCCCAAAGAAACATAGGTCTCATGGTTTCCCTTATTTGCTCTAACTAGTATATATCTAGGACAAGTAGAAAAGGTCAATATGTACATATCACCATGTAAGATGATGTTAAGCGAAATGAACCCCAAGATAGGGACACAACTTGTTTTTTTCTTTCTTGCTATTGTTTTTAATGTATTTATAATGTACTATGTGATTTTTTTTTGTTTCTTTGGTATGTTCTTCCCTCACGGCATAACCCCTGTTTTCACTGTATTTGATGTTGGTGCCCTGCATCTTGTATATACATTTTTCTAATTGAGGGAGGGGAAGGGAAGTAACAAAATGCTGAAATAAGAATACAGGTTGACCGATTGTAACAATGAGATATACAAGACACTATGTTGAAAACGAACTTTACAACTTTGGTGTGGGGGTGGGGGGGAGGGGAGTTAGGGAGGTGGAGAGGGAAGGGATGGTAGGGGGGAAACAAAGGAGGGGGTAACAATGTTCAATAGGAAATGTACTCATTACCTTACTAATGTAACTGTAACCCCTCTGTATGGTTTTTACAATTAAAAAAAAACAGACTTGAACACTCAGTTAATGTTTTTCACATGTGTTTTCACTAGAGTTGTTTTTATTTTTTTTTTAATTTTTTTGTCAGTTGTGGGGCTTGAACTCTGGGCTTGGGCTCTGTCCCTGCACTCTTCAGCTCAAGGAGAGCGCCCTACCGCTTGAGCCACAGAGCCACTTCCCATTTTCTAGTGGTTTATTGGAGATAAGAGTCTCACAGACTTTCCTGCCCGGGCTGGCTTTGAACTGTGATCCTCAGATCTCAGCCTCCTGAGTAGCTACTGGCGCACGGCTCACTAGAGTTTTAACATACTTTAAATACTAGAAGTTTCTATCCTTACTCCTGCATATCCAAAAGGTTGAAAAACAGTTTAGAGCTGGATAACAAGCCTTAACCCTTGAGGAAGTTATTGGAGATGTGCAGAACCAGCGCACATGCTGCAACCCAGGTCCACTGGGGTAGGGGGTAAAGAGCTTTGAAGTTAAGATCTTGTCACAATTTTCTTGATCTTAAGGACTCAGGGCTTCACAGTTTCCCTGTCTCCTAGTTTCCTTTTTTTTTTTTTTTTTTGGGTCCGGTCATGGGTCCTGAACTCTGGTCCTGGGCGCTGTCCCTCAGCTCTTCAGCTCAAGGCTAGCACTCTACCACTTGAGCCACAGCACCACTTCCAGCTTTTTTCTTTTTGCTTATGTGGT